CAAGATCTTTTCTCAAAAACTACGAGTTGGCCGTGTAGCTCAATGAGAAGACCCTAGGTTTGATCCCCAGTAACCCCTCCACACACACACAAAAAGTGTAGGTGACAGAATAAAATTGGTTGATATAAGAGAAATAAGTGTAGGTACATTTTTAATTGTGACTAATTCGTATTATCTTCTACACATTTGGACAGAGCAGGAGGAATGTACCAATTAAACCTTTGGACAGAGCAAGGTCATTTTACATTGAACGCTGGACCTTAGCGGCCGCTCACACTGCTGTGTGTGCCCAGTATATTGATCTTTGCCAGTTGCGAGGAATTGGCCAAGGACCCTCAAATGTGGAGACATTTGCAGCTCACCTGAAGCAGCAGCATTTTCTGAGAGGAGGGAGAGGTGCTGCTCTGATGCGTGGAGATAAGCAGTAGATGGTGTGCAGAACGGGCCCCCCACCGGCGAGAGTCCTGATCTGCGTACTTGCTGCACAGAATGTCAACTTTTGGTGCCGTACTTTTTGGGTTCTGTGAGATGTACCAGATTCTTACTTTAAAGTTTTTCCAGCTCAAAAATATCCTGTGCAGATGCCTAGCAAGCTTCCATAGGGCAGATGACTTTACTACAATCTTCTCTACTTCTTGTTATTCTTACTTCTCTATAAAAGAACAGTGTAGCTTTGCAGTTCCAGGAAAGATAATCTCTCTGTGTTTCTTTGCTGTTAAATATAAACCACATCAGCCTTTTAGAATTGTGGTGAGGATAAATGAGTTAATTCCTAGTACATAGTAAACACTTGATAAATAATACCTATGATGATCGTTCCCTCTCTTCAGCCAGGATGAGGTCTTAAGAGGAGAGCACTTGCAAGTTATTCTTTGTATCTTCCTCAAGCACTTATCTGAGTTGTCCTGGAAACATTAAAAAATGTTTCACATTATTGCCTGATGTCTTGAGCTTCATGAGATATCTGTATCTGTGTACAGTGATACCTCAGTTCACAAACTCAATTCCCTCCACAATCCTGGTTGCAAACCAAGCTGGACATGAATGGAATCAAATTTCCCCGTAAGGCCAATGTTGAATTTAACTATTAAATTCGATTCAGCTCTCATCCAACTTGATTTGCAACTAGAATTGTTGAAAGAATGAAGTTCTTGAACCAATGTACTGCTTAGATCTAGAGCTCTGTTTATCTGCTTATCTGTCTGTCTATGTTTTTCTCCCTACCTATGAATGAGCTTTTCCTCACTGAATTTCTTTTAAATAGTTTCAAAGCAGGCAGGTGCTTTGGGGTTTTAAAAACACTTCAATTTTTAGGGCTAGAAATGTACCTCACTGGTGGAGCACTTGCCAAACAAGCATGAGGCCAAAAGTTTGATCCCTGGTACTGCAATTAATTAATGTCATTTGTAAATTTTAGCTATTTAAAAATAACATCTAATTCATATATTCAAATATTATAAAACAAAACTTAGTAAATAGTCCCACTTTATTATATACTGCTCAGTTCATTTTTAGCCTTTTCCTACTGTTTCTAATTATTTTGCTGATATTGAAAGTTAAATAATTTAAGAACTATACAAGATCGTCTGACCTATAATAGTTTTCTGCATGAATTTTGTGTTCAGTCAAGACAAAGTGGAAAAATAAAGGAGGAATGTAAGTGAAACACTTAATTCCTGTTTTCAAATTGCTTTTATTAGCAAGAAAAAGGGCTGTCCAGATAGCCCAGGCCTGCTTAGGCAGACGCTGGGCTTGAGCTCCTGGCCTGCTATGCTGGCCCCACCCCGGGGTGTGCTGAGACAGCGACTGAGACTGGGTGTGGTGGTGCGCCTGTAATCCCAGCACTAGTGAAGCTGAAAACTGGAGGATCACTATGAGTCTGATCTGTGTAATGAGAACCTGTACGATGCATTAAAAAATATATATTAGCAAGAAAAGCCTTATTGTTGCCATTGATTGGTGTTTTATGACATTCACTTATAGATTTAAATAAAAATACTGTAGGACTATTCTAATGTAAATTTATCTGCTATTTTTGGGAAAACATGTTTATAAGAACTTACCCACTTATGCATTTATTTGATAAGGATTTATTGGCCTGTTACCTAATAGGTATCATGCCCTAATCTAGGCTAAGGCTACAGGTTTGCCAAGCTACCACTGGCAGCCTTTGGCAAACATAAGCTTACTGGATTTCGACATAACTGTATTGCTGTAAGAAGATTTTGTAGATCACTAACTCGTAACATGTTCCATCTCTTCAAGTCAGTTGACTAACACGATTTTGCTGTGCAGAGGTCCTGCTGGAGTGAGAGCCCAAGCTCTGGACAGAGAGGGAAACCTGGTGGAAGACTTTGTATTTGATGGAGGAGTAGGGGACATTGGAAACCGAATTCTTCACGTGAGAAATGCACCTTCCCCTGCTGCCACTTCTTCCCTTGCAATTTCTGGAATGATTGTAGATGAAATGCAACAAAGATTTGAATTGTAAATAGCGGAAAGGAGCTAGATACACATTATAATGTCCACGTCAACAAGAAGAATGTACTGTACTAATTGCGTTTTTAACTACTATTTAAACAAATGGTTTTGAAATCTGACTTCTAGGTAAAAGATAACCAATGAGTTATTAAAATTATGTAATATAGAAATGATTTTTTAAAACTTAAAGTACACTTTCATTTTAGGAATGGGGAAAAAAAGTAGTTTTATCTGTCCTGAATTCCTGATATTGTTAATGATCTCTTCTTACCACTCATGATCTAAAGAAGATTTGGCTAGTTTAGAATTTGGGGGAAAGATGTCAATGAAAAAATTGATTATCAGCCAGGCATGGTGGCATGTGCCTATAACCCCAGCATTTGAGAAGATGAGGCAGGAGGCTTGGAAGTTCTAGGAGTCCAATCTGGACAACTTAGCAACTTAACAAGATGCTGTATAAAAAATCTCTTTTTTTAAAAAAAATCTCTGTAGATCAGTTTTTTGGCTTTATAACATTTAAGCATTTTTGTCTTTCCTAGACAAGAATATATATTATAGATTCCAAATCTTGTAATTTTTAAGTCATAGAAAAGCTCATTGTATTTACACCAACGATATTTGTATTTGGAAATTAAAAACTCTTGATTTGAAGAATATACATGAAATCTCACATTTAATTTAAAATTCAGTCTTTATTATTCCCAGTATGTTGACAAAGCTCTGTAATACTGTATAGTGCCATCACCAAGTCTAAACGCAGTGTACTGTGTGAGATTGTTGCCTACTCTGCAGTCTTCTATGGTTGAGAAACTGAACATACCTATAACTGATAGGTTTTTATAAGACCACTTTTAGAATTCTGACATAGATGTATAGAACTCTATAGTTTTCAACAGTTTATCTCTTACATCTCTGTCCTTTAGTTACACTGAATTTCTCAAGGTGTTGGCCATGATCACTAATGATTCATACCTCTGTGGTTTTTCAGAGCTCCGGTAAGCTTTTATGAGGCTATTTCTCCATTTTGGGTCAATATCTAACTTTGAGGCATTCACTTTTGTAAACCGCGAAAGTGCCTTACAATCATGTACTTCATAAGTGTGTGAAATTGGTGTCCAGTGCCATGCTGTATACTGTTTATGTGGGTGGGGGACTTATGTGACAAAATGTTTCTTACAGTTCAGAAAGTTGGCAAATAAATACATAAATGAAAATGTGGCAGCCTGACTGGGGACACAGCCACCCTTCAGATGAGGTGTTTTGTTTTGGTTCATTCTGTCCCAATGTGCTCTCTCAGGATTAATCATCCACTCTTTATTCCTTCTTTCCTCTTATCTCTTCAAAGCACTGCGAAGGATGAGTGGGAAGGATGTGCATGTTGCCTAATAGGAAAAGCTCTTGTTTTCTTTCCTTTCCCTTCACTTCAGTCCTTGTCATTACATTGACATTGAGCTACCTCATCCATTAAATTGAAAGGATACACATCATCAATTCCAGTTCAAAAGCAGCACAGCCCAGGTAAATAGACTGGGCAACTACGCAACAATTGGGATGTGCATGTCGAAAGCATTCAGAAATCATTTGCAGACGGAGAGACGAGCACTAATAGTTCATCCTAATAACTGACTCCAGCAAGAGATGCAAACCACAGGATATTTTTCTTTTTACACGACTACTAAGAGATGGAAAATAATACAATTCTCTATCTCCTCAACGGTAAGACTGCCTACACGGTGAACTGTGAAAGACTGAAATACCTTTCCTAGTTGAGGCCGTCCACATTCCTCAGTCCCCATTTTGGTCTGTACTATATCCCCCAAGAATATATGTGGAAAATTTGTGGAAAGTGTTTTGAACATATGACTCATTTGGTATGTAAATCATTTGATATTTATGTCAGTAGAGTTTTGTTGTTAAACACTATTATGATATTTAAGAATTTTGTGTCTTTCTGAGAGAAGAAAATGTATATTAGTATTAAAATATTTTAATGACCCCCTGGTTGTGAAAAGCACATTTTTAGTTTCATGAAAATTCTTATTCAAATAAATATTCTATGTGTAAACATAAACTGTCAACTTTAGATAGTAAGCAATCTTAAAAAAGTTAAAACCAAGCCTGGGGGCCGGGGAGATGGCTCAGTAGAATAAGCACTTCTCTGGCAAGTACAAGGGCCTGAGTTCAATTCCCCTTTCTGCCAAAAAACAAAAAACAAAAAAAAAACCCCACACACACACACAAAACTAAGCCTGGCTTACCACATGCCTGTCATCTTAGCACTTGGGGAGCCTAAGGTAGGAAGATCTGAAATTCAGGTCTCACCTGGACAACATAGTGGGACCCTCAAAAAATTTGTTTTAAACTATAAAAATTAAAACCACTTCTGTATTTGTGTATGATAATAAAAATGAAGCACTATTTCATATGTTGGGTTAAAAGTAAATTTTCAGGGCTGGGGAGATGGCTCAGTGGAATAAGCGCTTCCCTTGTAAGCGCAAGGGCCTGAGTCGTATCCCTGGTTCCACACACACACACACACAAAAAGTAAATTTTCTTTAGTTTTTAGCTTGAAAGTATTCTGTTTGTGAGGAACTCTTTAGTGTGTTAGCAAGTATTTTTTGGTGTTTGATGTTAACTAAACTCCTTTGTGTACACACACACACACACACACACACACACATCAAAGTCCTTCCCTTGATCCTCGAAAAGTTTGCACTGTTTGGGGAGTTGCCATTACTATTGGCAGAATTCCATCTCCTTGAGGCCTTTTGGAAGTCTGCCTACCAGCCTGTGGAATAACTTTTAACTCTCAGAACTTTCTTCAAAGGATGGTGGTGAGAGTGGTGTGTATGCCCAGGCCCCAGCGGGGGGCGTGGTGGGAGGGGGAGCACTGGGCCTGTGTTTGGAAGCTGTCCAACCCTGACTGCTGTGACTGAGCCGGCCCTAGGAGCCCAGGAGAGGTGGCTCTACCTCCTGGTGCCTTAATGTGTATGTAGGCTATTTTGTTCAGATTTTTCCTCAGCTTTTTAAAGATAAACTTTATGATTTAAGCATATTGTAAAGATTTTCAAGGAGGAATTAGTTGCTAAGTTTTTCTAATATTCTCAGGGAGTCTGAAATCATTTTATCAGAACTTAAGGTGGAAGGTAAGGGTGATGACAGCAAAATGGGTAGGAAAAAGAAAGATGCTTGAAAATGTTTTCCAGTCCTTTGTACCTATTAAAGACTTAAAGAGTGGAACTAAAACTCCAGAGCAGCCATCTCTACTTTACTGTTTCCCTCTGTGAACATTTGCAGTACATGCATTCTGCAATCATCTTCGTTAGTGGGTACACGTACACAATACAGCTTGCTGCCTTTTTTTTTTTAAATCCCCTCTCCATCCCTGTGTCTTCTAATTCTCCTTTCTGCATTTCATTTTCATTGATAATCTTAGCTCATGTTTATGGCATATAGTGTTTACATTCATTGAGGTTATTAGGATCCTGTACATGGAATATCTTTATTCTCATTTTCCCTTCCACTCCCCCCTCAGTCCACCCAACTATTTTTGTAGCCCAAATTCTAGAAAGAGCTACATTCTTTTTGTCAAATGCTATTATTTTCTGCTAAGAAGGGTCCCACAAAAGTTATTTAAGATTCTTTTGCCT